CCCTGAGTAACAATTCTCTGGCACTCCGTAACAATTCTGTCTGTCCTGAGTAACAAATTCTCTGGCACTCAGTAACAATTCTGTCTGTCCCTGAGTAAAAATTCTGTGGCCCTAAATTAAAGTTTTCTGTGGCCCTAAGTAACAATTCTCTGGCACTCAGTAACAATTCTGTCTGTCCCTGAGTAACAATTCTCTGGCACTCCGTAACAATTCTGTCTGTCCCTGAGTAACAATTCTCTGGCACTCAGTAACAATTCTGTCTGTCCCTGAGTAACAATTCTCTGGCACTCCGTAACAATTCTGTCTGTCCCTGAGTATGAATTCTGTGGCCCTAACTAGCGTTTCTTTGTCCCTAAGTAACAGTTCTGTGGCCCTGAGTAACAATTCTGTGTCTGTGAGAGTAACAATTCTGTGGCCCTAAGTAACAGTTCTGTGGCCCTCAGTAACAGTTCTGTGTCTGTGCGAGTAACAATTCTGTGTCTGTGCGAGTAACAATTCTGTGGCCCTAAGTAACAGTTCTGTGGCCTTCAGTAACAATTCTGTGTCTGTGCGAGTAACAATTCTGTGTCTGTGCGAGTAACAATTCTGTGGCCCTAAGTAAAGTTTCTGTGGCCCTAAGTAACAATTCTCTGGCACTCAGTAACAATTCTGTCTGTCCCTGAGTAACAATTCTCTGGCACTCAGTAACAATTAACAATCTGTCTGTCCCTGAGTAAAAATTCTGTGGCCCTAAGTAAAGTTTCTGGGGCCCTGAGTAACAATTCTCTGGCACTCAGTAACAATTCTGTCTGTTCCTCAGTAACAATTCTCTGGCACTCAGTAACAATTCTGTCTGTCCCTGAGTAAAAATTCTGTGGCCCTAAGTAAAGTTTCTGTGGCCCTAAGTAACAATTCTCTGGCACTCCGTAACAATTCTGTCTGTCCCTGAGTAACAATTCTCTGGCACTCAGTAACAATTCTGTCTGTCCCTGAGTAAAAATTCTGTGGCCCTAATTAAAGTTTCTGTGGCCTAAGTAACAATTCTCTGGCACTCAGTAACAATTCTGTCTGTCCCTGAGTAACAATTCTCTGGCACTCAGTAACAATTCTGTCTGTCCCTGAGTAAAAATTCTGTGGCCCTAAGTAAAGTTTCTGTGGCCCTGAGTAACAATTCTCTGGCACTCCGTGACAATTCTGTCTGTCCCAGAGTAACAATTCTCTGGCACTCAGTAACAATTCTGTCTGTCCCTGAGTAAAAATTCTGTGGCCCTAATTAAAGTTTCTGTGGCCCTAAGTAACAATTCTCTGGCACTCAGTAACAATTCTGTCTGTCCCTGAGTAACAATTCTCTGGCACTCCGTAACAATTCTGTCTGTCCCTGAGTAACAATTCTCTGGCACTCAGTAACAATTCTGTCTGTCCCTGAGTAACAATTCTCTGGCACTCCGTAACAATTTCTGTCTGTCCCTGAGTATGAATTCTGTGGCCCTAACTAGCGTTTCTTTGTCCCTAAGTAACAGTTCTGTGGCCCTGAGTAACAATTCTGTGTCTGTGCGAGTAACAATTCTGTGGCCCTAAGTAACAGTTCTGTGGCCCTCAGTAACAGTTCTGTGTCTGTGCGAGTAACAATTCTGTGTCTGTGCGAGTAACAATTCTGTGGCCCTAAGTAACAGTTCTGTGGCCTTCAGTAACAATTCTGTGTCTGTGCGAGTAACAATTCTGTGTCTGTGCGAGTAACAATTCTGTGGCCCTAAGTAAAGTTTCTGTGGCCCTAAGTAACAATTCTCTGGCACTCAGTAACAATTCTGTCTGTCCCTGAGTAACAATTCTCTGGCACTCAGTAACAATTCTGTCTGTCCCTGAGTAAAAATTCTGTGGCCCTAAGTAAAGTTTCTGTGGCCCTAAGTAACAATTCTCTGGCACTCAGTAACAATTCTGTCTGTCCCTGAGTAACAATTCTCTGGCACTCAGTAACAATTCTGTCTGTCCCTGAGTAAAAATTCTGTGGCCCTAATTAAAGTTTCTGTGGCCCTAAGTAACAATTCTCTGGCACTCAGTAACAATTCTGTCTGTCCCTGAGTAACAATTCTCTGGCACTCAGTAACAATTCTGTCTGTCCCTGAGTAAAAATTCTGTGGCCCTAATAACGTTTCTGTGGCCCTAAGTAACAATTCTCTGGCACTGAGTAACAATTCTGTCTGTCCCTGAGTATGAATTCTGTGGCCCTAACTAGCGTTTCTTTGTCCCTAAATAACGATTCTGTGGCCCTCATTAACAAGTCTGTGTCCCTGAGTAATGGTTCTCTGTCCCTAAGTAACTTTTCTCTGTCCCCAATTATCGTTTCTGTGGCCCTAACTCTGTCCCTGTCCCTAGTACAGAGCGGTCTGCCTCTGTTCAATGACTGCAGGCAAATGAAGAATTCCAAAATGGCCGCTATTTATAGCTCAACCATTACACAGTGCTGGCTGGCTGGCTGCTGATTGGCTGATGCGATCACATGTAGTTGAGGAATGCATTATGGGTCAGCGCGCCTTGTCTGCGCGCCTTCCCAGACATCCCCGCTCCGTCGCCGCACATGTCAGCCGCCATTTTCTGAAAAATTTCGATTCGCGCGTCCGAATTAGGCTATTTTTCGGATTCGGCACGAATCGAAATTTTTCCGATATTCGACTCGAATTCCACTTCGGATACTTCGATTCGCTCATCTCTAGATATGATCACAATATATAAATATCTAAATGGTGATTCTAGCATAGGAAGAAAACTGTCCAGTCTCAGGTTACTGAGGAGGACATATGGTCACTCAATGAAATTGGACAAGAAACAGTTTAACCTTAAACTGCGTAAGGAGTTCTTTAGTGATAGAACGGTAAGGATGTTGAACTCTTCCACAATCAGTGGTGTCAGCAGGAACTGTCGACAATTTCCAAAAATGTTTAAATAGGCAACCAGTATACAGTGATATGGGAAGTATTAGAGACATAAATGCATACACGTACCCACACAGGTTGAACTGGATGGGCTGATGTCTTTTTTCAACCTTACCAACTACAGTATGTAAACATGTAACTAAATATATTTTTTTACCATTTTGATATTAACTCAAAATACTGGCTTATTGTAAATGTTTTTGAGTTTCCTTTTACAATATGCCCACCTACTACTTGTGCTTTTACCAAATCCTACAGGAAGAAAAAGCTGGCTCTGTAACTTTAGCTGTGCTTTGCAATAAACATTTTGCAAGTACAACGTATAAAGATCAACAAGCAGGGTTACAAATGTACTTAGCTAGGAATTAAGAATCTGTCATATATATTTGATTTATGTAAAGGACATAGATCAGTTTAAACTGTACCTTTCAGTATCTTTAGGTACTTTCAATAAATTCATAAATAAATATTACAGTATACAACAACAGTATCATTTTGCACAAAGTCTGTACCTTTTATTGTTATGTCATCATGTACCACTGTGTGATGGGGTGGCAATTATTTTAATTCACTGGTACCCCCAACGCACTAAAGAAAATGCTACTCCAATGCCTCTATGTTGTACCACACTACAATCACACACTACTGCACGCCGTTGTGCTCTGCATCTGGAAATATAGTTCTGTTGAGTTTTCTGGTCCTTTTGTAGAGTACTTGGGCAGATGTTGGTGATCCCAACCTGCTTCATCTTGGATAGAGCACCCACCCTTCCTACCTGCCTTTGTAGCCACAATAATGGACAAGTCTCCTGGCCAGAGTCTCGCTCACACATTCCAACACTTGGAATAAAGAAATGTCCACACATAATTGCATTTTCAGCACTTTTCTGCAACTTCATGTTTCTTTCATAACACATCACATTTGACATACTACCAGAACCTTTGTCGTGGAACACCATGAGCCTGAATAGACATTCTGTAGAACGTAAGCCATCTTCCTTTATGCTTCCCTCCTCTGAAAATCATTGGATGCTCACTCCCAGCATTGCAGGAGTGAAAACCAACAGTTTTTCGAGTCCTAGCAGTAAGGCAGAACGTGAGGATTGCTAACCAGGATTTTTGTAGCCAGGCTTCTGAGGGGACCCAAATGGCCTACAGGTAAAACAATACAATTAATGATTACTTTATAAAGCTGCACACATTCTTAGTATTTACTGAGGCATTCTCAGGCTGAGCAGTGACCAAAAATATTCCCACCCTCCTGGCCAGCAACTTATTTCTTGTGTTTTGTTTGTATTAAACTGTCATCAAAGCTTGTGTGCAGTTTAAGGATCTTTAAATGACATTAATTTTGTGTAAAAGTGGATGGGGACTTGTCTAAAATATGCATACTGTTTTAGTGTGGTCCAGTTGTTAAGGCCAATCAATGTACAGTTGGATATATCCTGTCATAGTTCTCTGTAAACATCCCTAAGGATGAGTAGTGCTGCTGGGGCCTTGCCAAATTACAAAATTCAGGCCACAGACAAAATGTTTTGTCTGCATGTTTTATGTTTTCTCTGGTGCCTTCAAAGACCGTTAACGCATCCTTCTTGTTATTTATTTTTAATTATTGTTATTTATTGGATTTTTTTTGTAATAAAGAGCTGACATGGCCATTAAATCTCATGTCGGTGTAGTCTCAATGTCTTTTGGGTGATTACAGGTGGTAAGGCGTGGAATGGCCGAGTGAAGGTCTCAATCTGAAAAAAAAAAAAAAAAAAAAACATACAAATGAATGCACACCTTTCCCTTTCTGGGATGCAGATCACTATTCCACTACACCTTTCTGTAAAAAAAAATCTATCAAGTTACAAAGTAGTCAATGTGCCCAGCTCCCCACTTTATACCTCAACTTCTAAATTATACAAAATTCTCACTTAGAAATAGTTTCATTCCCACCAGGGATGCTATCTTCTTAGTAGCCTTCAGTACAATTCTAGTCTTCCTTTGAAATACCCTTGTCATGGAAAAATCTCTTGTGAAAGATCTCTTTATGGAAAAAAAAAATCCAAAAATAGACAAATAAACAAACATTATTATGTTTCTATTCTTATTTTGCAGATGGTTTTGCATCTTTAATACTATCACTTTTATACAAAATTTTCTTAAGTCCCCCTTTTACTTCCTGATTTCGTAAACTATATATGAGAGGATTTAGCAGAGGAGTTATCACACTGTAGAGCAGAGACAATAATTTGTCATTATCTGGGGTATCACTGGTCTTGACTCGTACATATGTAAAAGCTCCGGTCCCAAAGAACAAAGTAACTGAGACAAAGTGAGAGGCACAGGTTGAAAAAACCTTTTTCCTCCCTGTATTAGTGCTGATACGAAGAATGGCAGCAATAATTCGTCCATAAGAATAAAGCACTAGAGAAAAAGGTAGCGGTGGGTAGTACTAAAAAGCCAGTGACGGAAACTGAAATCTCATTAGCTCTAACATCTGTGCAGGCCAGCTTCAGCAATGGGGGTATGTCACAGAAAAAATGGTTGATAAGATTGGGACCACAGTAAGGTAAAGAAAAGATAGAGGCAGTCTGGCCAAGAGAAATTAGATTGCCAGAGAGCCAAGATAAAGTAGCCATTTTTAAGCATGTAGTTTTGTTCATAACTGAAAAGTATCTCAAGGGATTGCAGATTGCTACAAAGCGATCATATGCCATGACAGCTAGGAGGAAACACTCAGTGACACCAAGGGTGAAAAAGCAATACATCTGTGCACAGCAACCATAAAAGGGAATTGTCTTCTTCTTGGCCACAAACGTTTGGAGCAGTTTGGGGAGGGTGACAGATATGTAACATATTTCAAGAAAAGAGAGGTTACGTAAGAAAATAGTACATCGGTGTATTGAGTAAGGAGTCCAAAGTGACCACTGTGATGATAGTAAGATTGCCCAGAATTGTGAATACATAGATTAGGAGAAAAAGGGTGAAGAGAATGAGCTGAAGCTTCACATTGAAATTGCTGAATCCCAATAGGATAAACTCTTCAACATAGGAGCTGTTTGCTGATAACTTGTCATAGGTGTATCTCATCTAGATATAAAATAAAGACAGAATAGCTTTTTTCATTTGTAAAAACACAAATTATACAAAATGTCATGCTTTTATTGCTGTTTATGAGCCCAATGGTGGAGACTTTTCCAAGCATTTCATATGGTCCCTAGGAAAGGAGAATAACTCTCAACAGAAACAAAGCAATAAGAGCATTTTTAAGTAAGGTGCCCAACACACATACACATATCACATCTCATAACGCTTATATCAATACTTTACTAAAAGATTTGTCAATCTCAATTCTTCAACCTTTTTCAATAAAGACACGCACTGCGTGACACGGGTTTAAATGGCCACAGCAGCCCTTTTATGAACAAATGTATAAATAAACATCAATTAAAACAATACCAACAATGCAACCAGGAAGGGGTTTCTCCTGGGGAAGGACCTTGCTTCTGTGATAACCACCAATAACCAAGTGGAAGCACCATACCCTACATGGGCCCTCAATTTTTGCAACAATATAGTTACACACTGACCCCCCAAAAAAAACCCTGACTTGCCAAACTGCTCTGACAAATCTTACTTTTTTAAAAAATTATTTGCCTCCGAATTCATAACCACAAAATATTACCCCACAACCAGGGGCAGACTGACCATTTGGAAACTTGGGCACTGCCCAAGGGCCCGGGGTCAGTAGGGGGCCCCATAAGATGCCCCTGGTACCTTTTTCATAGGCTTTTTTGAGTTTTTGGGCAAGGACACAGGGGCCCCATGATCCCCTATTGCCTGGGGGGCCCCATGAGTTGTCAGTCTGCCCCTGCCCACAACACCAAATACGCAGGAGCCTGGAATACAGGGCAGGAGGAAGGGGAAGTTTCTTCTTCACCTGACCTTTCCAGAATGAATACCCAGCATCCCTTGCACGAATCACCCTTGCAGCTCCAACCTACAGATCTGACCTTCAGCTACCAATCAGGTAAGAACTACGCCCCTTCCCCACTAAACTAACAAGATTTACCCTTTTCAGACCTGTTCCTCCCTTTAGTCATACCGACCTTCTGTTCCATTCTCTCTTCTCTGGTCACACTTTTTTTCTTCAGTGAAGCCAAGCTCTTCTTACTTCCTCTGCCTTGCTTCCTTTCCCATTCTATTCTACCTTTTATGTGTTTTGTACCCTGGCATCTGCTGATACTTTGCATTACTGCAGGAGGGGAGGAAACCTCAACTAATATACACTGTGTGCACAAGTATTAGGCAAGTGAGTTTTTTGACCAAATCATCATTTTGATGCATATTGTCCAACTCCAAGCTGTATAAACTTGAAAGCTTACTGGATTTAAGCATATCAGGTGATGTGCATTTGTGTAATGAGGAGGGTGTGGCCTAAGGAGATCAACACCCTATATCAAGGTGTGCATAATTATTAGGCAACTTCTTTTCCTCAGGCAAAATGGGCCAAAAAAGAGATTTAACTGACTCTGAGAAGTCAAAAATTGTAAAACCTCTTTCAGAGGGATGCAGCACTCTTGAAATTGCTATGATATTGGAGCGTGATCACAGAATCATTAAACATTTTGTTGCAAATAGTCAACAGAGTTGCAAGAAACGTGTTGAGAAAAAAGTCACAAATTACAGTGAAGGAAATAAGTACTTAATCCCCTGCTGATTTTGATTGTTTGCCCACTCACACAGAAACGATCAGTCTAAAAATCAAATGGTAGGTGTATTGTAACACTGAGAGACAGAATAGCAACAAAAAATTCAAAAGAAATGCATGTCTAACAAATTATGATGGATTTGCATGTTCATGAGGAAAATAAGTATTTGATCCCCTTCACAAAACATGGCTTAGTACTTGGTGGCAAATCCCTTGTTGGCAATCACAGAGGTCAGATGTTTCCTGTAGTTGGCCACCAGGTTTTTACACATCTCAGGAGGGATTTTGGCCCACTCCTCTTGGCGGATCCTCTCCAAGTATCCTCTCCAAGTCATTAAGATTTGGTGGCAGAAGTTTGGCAACTCGAGCTTTCAGCTCCCTGCACAGATATTCAATCGGATTAAGGTCTGGAGACTGGATAGGCCACTCCAGGACCTTAATGTACTTCTTCTTGAGCCACTCCTTTGTTGCCTTGGCCATGTGTTTTGGGTCATTGTCATGCTGGAACACCCATCCACGACCCATTTTCAATGCCCTGGCTAAGGGAAGAAGGTTCTCATGGTACATTGCCCCGTCCATTGTCGCTTTGATGCAGTGCAGTTGTTCTGTCCCCTTAGCAGAAAAACACCCCCAAAGCAAAATGTTTCCACCACCATGTTTGACAGTTGGGATGGTGTTCTTGAGGTCATAGGCAGCATTCCTCCTCCTCCAAACACAGTGAGTTGAGGACAAAGAGCTTGATTTTGGTCTCATCTGACCACAACACTTTTAACCAGTCCTCCTCTGCATCATTCAGATGTTCAGTGGCAAACTTCAGACGGGCCTGGACATGTGCTTTCTTGAGCAGAAGGACCATGCGCGCACTGCAGGATTTCAATCCTTGTCGGCGTAGTGTGTTACCAATTGTTTTCCTGGTGACTGTGGTCCCAGCTGCCTGGAGATCATTGACAAAATCCTCATGTGTAGTTCTGGGATGATTCCTCACGGTTTCTCATGGTCATTGACACTCCACGAGGTGAGATCTTGCATGGTGTACCAGACCTAGGGAGACTGACAGTTGTTTTGTTTTCTTCCATTTGTGAATGATTGCACCAACTGTTGTCACCTTCTCACCAAGCTGCTTGGCGATAGTTTGGTAGCCCAGTCCAGCCTTGTGTAGGTCTACAATCTTGTCCATGACACCCTTGGACAGCTTTTTGGTCTTTGCCATGGTAAAGAGTTTAGGATCTGATTGTTTGATTGATCCTGTGGACAGGTGTCTTTTATACAGGTAACAAAATGAGATTAGCAGCACTCCCTTTAAGAGACTGCTTCTAATCTCAGCTTGTTACCTGTATGAAAGACACCTGGTAGCCAGAAATCCTGCTGAATGATAGGGGAACAAATTTCCCTCATGAACATGCAAATCCGTGCATAATTTGTTAGACATGCATTTCTTCTGAATTTTTGTTGATATTCTGTCTCTCAGTGTTACAATACACCTACCATTCGATTTTTAGACTGATCATTTCTTTGTGAGTGGGAAAACATTGAAAATCAGCAGGGGATCAAATACTTATTTCCTTCACTATAATTGTCAAAGATTTGAGAAGAATGAAATGTGAAGCTACCAGGAACCTATTATCCTCCAGTGCTGTCATATTCTAGAACTGCAACTTAGGTAACGAAAGCTGAAACCGCACCACCACTGCACAAGATAAGTAAGTTGAAACGTCAAGACTGAGCCCAGAAATATCTGAAGAAGGATTTTTCAAAGGTTTTATGGACTGATAAGATAAGGAGAGTGACTCTTGACAGACCAGAAAGATGGGCCTGTGGCTGGATCAGTAACAGGCACAGAGCTCCACTTCGACTCAAACAACAGCAAGGTGGAGATGGGGTTCTGGTATGGGCTGGTATTATTACAGTATTAATACAAGCCCATACCAGAACCCCATCTCCACCTTGCTGGCATCTGAGCATTCAAATGTTTATACACACATGTTAATAAGTGATTCAAGAAACTACAGTGTAAGTGATGAAACTGTGACCAAATTGTAAGACAAAAAACACCATATGAAGATATACAAATGCATGTTTAACAAAAGGGTCAAGAGATTTGTTATTCTGTTCAAGCTATTGGTATTAACCTTTTAAAAGCAATAAAAGCCACCCACAAAAGCAGCCCGAGAAGAGCAGTCCAGAGTGGATTGCTTTTCACAGAGTGGTGCAGACTTGGCTGACAGGCAGTCAGGAGGCAATACTGCCCCTCCTGAATTCTTTTTTTTTTTTTGGACAGTTGGACATGCTTTTGGAATGAGTATACTGTGCTGCAATTGTAAGTCTAGCATTTGTTGTGCAGGTGGGACACGGCCCCATTCACTTGAATATGTAGCAAGCGGCAGCAGTGATAATTTTTACCACACAACAAAGCAAAGTATCGCATCTGTGGAATGTGTACACCCCCATCTGGCTGCTTCTGCAGCTTAAGGGGGTGTTTGGGCATGGTAAAAAACGTGGCCCAGTGATTAAGGATAATTGGATAAATAACTGTATTTAATTGTAATTTAACTGTAATTATTTAGAATTTAGCATACAATATTTTGCCCAATATGCCAGTTATAGCAATGAATTTATAGACTTTAAAACTGAACTCCATGCATATATAAAAATAATTGATCTAGTTATGCATTCATTAACATAATTTTAAATCAATTTTAAATGCACCCACTGTAAGTGCTTGAATCTGAAAACCAACTTCCTCTAGTTCCCTGCACAGCAGAACTCTGACTGACAGCAGGAGAGTCAGTAATTTGAGTGAATCAGGGATCTGCTGCATGCACATGTACTGATAGGAACACCCTAATAGAAGGAGAGAGGTGACTTAAAGTATAACTAAAGTTAAACATTTTTTTTTTTTTAGTTCTGAGTAGAGTGGAAAGGGATTAGAAAATCTGTCAGTTTTTATTGCTGTCTGTGCCCCTGTTAGAGAGATTATCCCTCTTTATTTGTCCTGTTTACCGTTATCATTGATAGTGAAAGCAAAAAAAAAAAATCGGAAATTTTGGGTTGTCCCCAGAAAAGCAATCTTCCATGGGTACACTAGGTCTGGTGACCTGGGGATCCCCAAGGAATTCCCTTAATTTGCAGGGATGTTCTCTCTCTTCCTGTTTGGCTATTGGATGGAAAGTGAAAGGAAATCTCTGCAATGGGACACAGATGGCGAAAAAATATCTGACAGTGGTTATAACCCTCCCCTAATCTAAAATTTAAAAA